TTCGGCGTTGCCGAAGCGTTTTGGGCAACCGCGGTTTCGAGGGAAGTCAGAGACGCGGTGACGAGGCGACGGAGCGTCGCATCCTCGGCGGAGATTCGTCGTCGAGTGATGGCGTACGACGTCCAGATCTGGGGGATCGTCGTCGCGTTGGCGCTCATACCACTCGCGACGCGAACGTACGCAGACTCCCAACTCGGACGATGCCATATCCGACGGAGTGCGGATGCCGACGGCGGCGCTAAAGCGATAAGATTCGCGGTGTACTATTTGCCGATTTGGCTGTGCGTAGTTTACAATTTAGTGTGCTGGTGGGATATCGCTCGCGCGATGAGAGGCGCGCGGGCGCTCGAACGCGCGCTCGGAACCGATCCTCGAGCGAGAGCCGCTACGACACGGTTGTTAACATTCGCGCGCAGGCTAGCTCTGTATCCGGCGGTACAAGTGTGCACAAACGTGCCAGGGACGGTTATGCGATTGATTGATTTATTGACGAGCTCACGGTACTCACCGCCGCCGTGGCTGATGGTTTCCCACGTCGCGGCGAAGACGTCGCAAGGACTTTTGCACGCAATCGTCTTCGTGTACGCGCATCCAGCGCGCCGAGATCTCATCATTTCGTTCGCGAGAAGCATGGGAGTCGCCAGATTTTTACCCATGACGTGGGGTGTAGATTCGACCGGTTTCAGAGCGGCCGACGCGCAGGCTGGAGGTCAGCTCGTCGACGATGTCGATTTCGTGAGTGAGGGCGAAGAAGACACGGACGATGGCTTCGTCGTCTTGTCCAACTCGACGGACGCGGGTGAGGATCGCGATGGAGTCAATCGCAAGCTTAGTGTTGAAGAGGACGAAGACGTCATGACCCATGATTTACGACCAGTGGTGTCTCAGCCAAACATCGAGATGTCGGCGATGTTGATTGACGACGTGCGCTCGGACGACGCGTAACTAGGCAAGGCATATGTCGGCGATGTTGATTGACGACGTGCGCTCGGACGACGCGTAACTAGGCAAGGCATTCGCAATTGAGCGATACATACGCATAGCAATGTACAATTATGTAGTCTTACAGTACCATATTCCGAAACAGCAGTCGTTTAGGGCATCATCGACGTCGGCGAGCGAGCGCGAGCTCCTGCTCGCATCTCGCGCATCGACACACGAAACCGTAATCCGCGAGCGCGTCTTGTCTCTCGTCGCGCGATTTACTGTCATCGTCTAAATACGATATCGTGATCTCTTCCCCCTCGGCGATGTCTTTTCTCGCCACGATGACGCACGCGCCTGTGATGTCTTGCTCGCCCTTCATTGGCTCGGCGTTTGGATCGCAGTCGTGATTGAACCCGCTCTGAACCGAAAACAGCGCCGTCCCAAGGCACGGGATGTCGTAGTCTTTGTCCAGCGCGTCGAGGAGTGGTTGCGTGATGCGAGTGACGGCGTTTTTTGCCTCCCCCTCCGGCGCATCGTCCACGGCGAGAAAGTAATTCTCGACTGGATTCTCGACGACGAGTTCGAGGTTGTTGAGCTCAAACGCGCCGATGAGCCTCCCATACGTGTCGAGCGTGAAAATACTGGGAAACTGCGTCGCCGCGTCGCTCCACGCGTGTCGCAACAGCTCGAGGGAATCGCTCGCGAGCGTCTGGAGCGTTTGTCTGAATTTCCGCTCGGAGTCTTCGTCGTCGCATTCCTCTGGGGCGGCGACCGCTTCCCACCACGGCGCGTTCGCGACGACGGCGTATGGCTCGCGCGCGTAGGCGTCCACCGCGGATTCATCCGCCGAGATTTGCGTGCCTTTCCCATCTCGCGCTTCGAGTCGATTTTTCGCGTCCAACGCTCGCAGACACATGTTCGCCAAGGCTTTCCCGGCGACGATGAAAATGTCGTTCGTCTCTCGAGCGTGCGAGTAAAATTCTTCGAGCGCGCGTTTATCGCGAGCGAGCCCGCGCGGTCCAGGACACATCATCGCCTCTTCCCCCGCCCACGCCTCGTTCGCGCACGCGTGCGAGCAATACACGTTTCGTTCGCATCCGCCCACGCACGGACACTCTGGAGGTCCATCGAACGGAGCGCTTTCGGGAAGCTTGGCCTCACCGCTCGCGAGCTTCGCCAAGTCGCCGAGGACGAGTTCTTCTGGCAGCGTCGACGTCGACGCCCCGTCCTCTTCTTCCCGTGCGACGAATTTGCGCATCAATCGTCGTCCTATCGCGCTCGAGACGTCGCCGACGAACCTAAAACATCTCGCGCACACGCGCGCGTGTCGCCTGTTACTCTCGTGTTGCGCCCCGACGAGCGGATCCTCGATCAGCACGCACTCGCCCGTCGTGAACGCGCGTCGCGCGAACACCCCTCTCCCGTCCCTCGTCTCGCTTCGTCTCACTTCGACGTGCGCGCCCGGAACCACCTCTCCCGAGCGCGTTCGATGTCGACACCCATCCACGGCGGCGCGCCACCGCGACGCGGGCTCCGTCGCCGTCGTCGTCGTCATCGCGGGTCACCGACGACGACGCCCTCGAACGACGCTCGAGCTCCGGCGCGCGCGGACGCGTGACGTTTTCACGATCCGTGACGTCGGTTGACGACGACGACGATTCGCACTCGTCGGCGCGTCCGAACGCGATGGTCGTCGCCGACGTCGACGCGATCGATCGTGAGAAGGATCGAGCGAAGCGTCTGACGCGACTGTTCGGCGAGGACGCGGACGCGGACGCGGACGCGTCGCGCGAGGACGGGCGCGACGCGAAGATGGAGGACGACGCGTCGAGAGAGACGAAAGAGACGACGGCGGCGACGATGGAGATCGCGCGCGACGCGAGAGCGGAGGGAGAGGTTGAAGACGATGCGGATGATGACGCGGAGCGGTCGAAGGAAGGCACGGAGGACGGTGAGATCGAGAGTTCGGACGAAGAAGACGAAGCAGTTGCGGGCGACGAGTCGCGCTCCGAGTCGAGCGTAGAGACGACCGAACGGTCAGAACGATCTCAGGAGGGAGAATCGTCCGCGACCGATCGTACGTTGTCACGGGTGTCGACATCGACGGATAAGCCCGAGCGGTTGCGTTTTGCGGCGTCGTTACCGCAGCTGTATCGATACAAGGATGGCGAATACGTCGCGGTGGGCGCGGCGGGCCTGGCCATCCTGGACCGCGAAGGCTCGCGTGCGCGCGATTTACTGTTGTACGACGTGAATAAGAAGCCACTGATTCGTCGAACGATCGATCATCGATTGACGTGCGAACCACAGCGAGACAATTACGTCACGGTTAAATTCAATGGCTCGATTCTTTTTAGCGCGCTGGCGCAGGACGAGGGCGAGTGGCTCGCAATAGCGGTCGAGATTACGATAGGTCAATACATCGCTCGAAGCATAAGTGCGGAAAATTTCGTCGAAGAGGCGATCGTGTTGGATCTGAACGGACCGGCGCGTGGAATGACAAAGCTCGAGATGGGCGACAGCGCGAGACTACATTACGAGGCGGTGAAAGGAGGCGGATCGTCATCTTTTCTCGAGCCGGACGTTTTGACTTTCAAGCTCATCGACGAAACTTCTGAGCGCGTTGATGGTGTCAAGGTGAAGCTCGAGAGCGATTCGTCGGCGCCGAGTGCGGTCGTTCAAGGGATAATTGGGTGCTCAAAGGACTCGCGTCGCTTAATCTTGGCACCGAAGACGGAAACTGAATTCGTCTTGTACGACGTAACGGTGACTCGCATTAAAAAGGGTGGGTCCACAAAAACGACGTCATCCGTCAAGCCAAAAGCGAAACCGATCGCACCGGTGGAGCCAACAGGGCACGTGGAAGCAAATCCGCGCGGGCCCGACACTCGCGGTGGTGACAAGTCGACAACGACAGAGACTCCGAAGACAGCGCCGCGCGTCGCCCCGATCGCTGACGCACAATTCGCAGTGCCGAGCACGCCTCCATCGCCGCATTGGTACGGCCTTCCCGCGCAATCATTGATGATGACGCTGAGTCCAACGGAGAGTGCCGCAGTGCTCACCGAGGTTCGGAAACTCGCCGACGATGTGTCGACGTTAACCGTACGAGCTCGACAGGGCGGATCGTGGATTCCTCCGGAACCGGTGGGAGAAATGAAACATGCGATAGAGGCGCTCACGCGCGCGCGCCGGACCGTTATGTTGCCCGCCATAGATGTGAGAGCGTTGAGCTTGTCGGACGTGCGCCAACTAACTGTTGAGGCGGAGCGCTTGGACGAACTTCACGAGGAGCTTCGTGAGCTTCGTAAAACGAAAGAATAGACTTCTCGCGTGTGTACGAATCTGTGCAATGCATTCCTAGCCATGACTACCCCGTCGGCGACCTCGTGTGCTTCCATTGAGTACTAAATTCTCTAACAAACTCGCTGAGCGCGACCGCAGAGCGAGGCGGTGCGACCAAATGATCGCGGTGGTTCAGCGCTGCACCAGCGGCGCGGTGACGATCGAGGAAACGTCCACGACGCGAGAGATCTCACGAGGTGTGGTCGTTCTCGTTGGAATCGCTAGCTGTGATACCGAAGAGGATGTCGAGTACGTGTTAAAAAAAGTCTTCAAGACGAGACTCTTTGCGAACGCCGATGGGAAGCAGTGGGCGAGCTCAGTCCTCGACAGTGACTTGGACGTTCTTTTGGTCTCGCAGTTCACGTTGCACGCGTCGCTGTTGAATAACAAGCCGTCGTTTCATTACGCCAAGAAACCGGCTGAGGCGAGAACGCTGTACGAGTACTTACTGAAGAGAGCGCGCGAGGAGTACGGCAAAGGTCGAAGCGGGAAGATAGAGGATGGTCAGTTCGGGTCGATGATGCAAGTGCGCATCGTGAACGACGGACCCGTCACGATCATTGTGGATTCACGCAACCGAGCGTGAGCTACGGTCAGTCGCGCAGCGCGCAACCAAGTCGTGTGATTCAGCTTCGTATTAGCGAGAAGGGTGCGGCATATTATTAAAATATCTTCATGTTGTACACTATGCCATTCCGTAGACCGCGGCTGTGGAGAAGTCGTCATCGATCGACTTTAACGCAGCCATCGGGTCTGCGGCGGCGCGCGAAAATGAATTTGGCTCGCTAAAAGGAGCCCACATGTCCCGCATCGCGTAATCTGCGATGGCTAATCTCGCGTACTTACGAGCGTTTGCGGTGAGAACGTCGTCCAAGTAGTCGAGGATGTTCACAGTCGGGTCCAAGCGCCACTGCCATCCTTCCAAAACCATCACCGTGACGACGGCGATCATGACGTTTGGATCGAGACACAGATGGTACTTTTGAACCGTCTCGAATATCGCCCCCATGCACTCTCCCGCGCGCGGAGTGGTGGCGGCGAAATTCGACACCGTTTTCGTGATTTCATTTCTGAATTCGGTGTAATCGTAGTTGGCCTTGACATTATCGGCGAACGACAGGATTGAGTCGGCGACAGTCGAGCCATCCCAGGTGACAATGGCTTGGAACATCTTTGCCAGTGAAGCCTGGTGGAAAGGCGACAACTTAGTGGCCAAACCGGTATCGAGGATGATGATTTCTGGTGTGTTGTCCGAAAGGGTGGTGCCGTGACCATCTAGATCGTCATGGTCTTTCAGCGACGTCGACGCGTTGCCACGCACGATGCTCGAAAGCGTGTGGGCGACGCCATCCGGCAATCGAACTAAAATGTTGCCCGGGTGCAGATCTGCGTGCAAAAAGTTGTCATCTATCAGCATCTTGAACAGCGTCTTCACTCCCAGACCCGCCAGCGTCTTATTCTGCGCGTTGCCCAGTTGTTCCTTGGCGGCTTCGGGCGAGAGGAGATAACTAGCTATGCTCACGCCCTGCTCATACGTCTCCACCAAGATCTCCTCCGTGGCTAACCCCATGATTGGCGTCGGGAAACTCACCGCCGGCATGAGCAAAAAGCTCTTGCGAAATTTGTCTAAATTTTCTGCCTCGTGCCTGAAATCGACTTGCTGCAACATGTGCACCCCGAACTGCGAAATCGTGTTCTCGAGCTGAAGAGGCTCGAGCCATTTGATGTTCTTCGACAGCGTCGCCATCCACGAAAGAATTTCGAAATCGCGTGTGAGAGCGTCTACGACTCCAGGGTGTCGAACTTTCACCGCAACTTCGCGTTTCTGACCGCCTCGTCGGATTCGCCCGTTAACGAGACGCTCCACTTCTCTACCGATACCCGCGGCGCCGTCTCGCCACTCTTCCAACATCCCAGCCGCCGCTCTTGAGACTTGTCCACTCATCATCAGCTCGATTCCCGCACCCACCGAGCGCGTGAGGCGCAAGGCGAACTCCGTCGCAGTGTGATGCTCTTCTGCGACCCCTGGTTTGAGCCTCGCGCGGTGAATCTGCGCCACGCTTCCGCTCGCGAGCGCCTTCTCGTCGAACCATTCGAAGATCTCCTCAAACCTGCTCGTACTCCCGTCCGCCCCAACTCCGTACGATCGTTCCAAAATTTTCTTCGTCTCTCTCCAGCTGTGTTCCGGCGCGCCCGCTTGCAAGTGCTCGAGCTCGCGACAGAGCGGGGCGGGAAAGATGTCGTACCTCGTCGACGCCCACTGCCCCCACTTTATGAACGCCGGCCCCGCCGCCTCTAAGACCCTACGAAATAGCCCATACCAGAGCTCGTTTCCCCACTTCCACCCATCGCGAAGCAATATTGGCGCCAAGAGAGCGAGTGGAGAGAAGTAGACGCACAGCTGCGCCAGGCGCGCGTACGTTCTCGCTCTATCCAGCCACGAGCGCGAGTTAGCCGCCGGAGCTGCCACTTTCGTCGTTTCACTCGGCCTCACCGAATCATCCTCTCGCGCGTGCATGCGCTCCAAACACCTCGCCCAGTTCTTCGAGTTCATCAAGTCTCGTCCCGCGACGTAGACGCCGCACGCGAATGTGGTGGACGCCCTGGACGCGAGCGTCGTCCCCCTCGCCGCGCGCGAGGCCGTCGTGGACGCCCTCGACGCAACCGGCGTGGACGTCGGCTTCATCCTCGTCCTCGCGCTCGCCGCGAACCCTCTCGCGGTCGAACACGCACTCCTCGAAGCGCTCGAAGCGACGGTGAACGCCCGAGCGGGCCGACGTAACGTCGATGACGACGCTCGTGCGACCGTGGCGGCGCGCTCGTGGCACAGACGCGTGACGAGGGACCTCGTGAGCGCGGTCGCGACGTCGTGAGGCGCGCTCGCGGACGTCGACGCCATCAAGCGCGACGCTCGCCGAGCAAGATCATCGCGCCGCATCGCTCACGAGCGGCGGTGTGACGTCGGCGTAGTGTGCGTCTTTGTAGACCATCATCATTTAGAGGCGAGACGCGGACGCGCGCGAGAGGCGCGAGGATGCGCCCAGTCGAAATGAAGCCACCGCTCTCACATCCTTACAACCGAAATGACTAGCTAATGAGTAACGTCATCCTGAAACGCCCGTTTACTTCTCGGTCGCTTCGCGGAGACGACGGATGGTGGATCGCACAGTGACGGAACCGCCGGTGTTGAGGCTGTACGCACCACCCGCCTTGGTCTTGTTGCACCCCTTGCAGCACCAGATGCCAACAGCCTGGCGCTTCATGCCGTACTTGCCGCAGAAGTCGCAGAAGAACTTCGAGTGCTGGCTCACCTCGGTCTTCTTCACAACCTTACGGAGCGACGCGCCGTAACGCGTGCCGTACTTGCCAACAATGCCTGCGCAGATGGAGAACGAGCAATATGTCAGTGTCGAGTTCGCGTTGACCCGCGAAGACGCATGCGCTTTGCGCGAATGATTTCCATGGTTTGAATCCCTGTCTTTGCGACGTCGCGCCATTCCTCCACGTCGCTCCGAGCGCGCGTCTTCGTCGAGGTCGTCGTCGCCAAGCCCTAAAACGCTTCCCACGGGACGTTTCGATCTGGTCGTCCACGCGCGCGCGTCGAAGGATCGGGTGGACGTACCAACTTTCTTCGTGCGCTTAGCCATGTCTAGAGATGTTTTGCTGAGTCTGCGAGTGAGGAAGAGCGTCGTCGTCGTCAGTGTCGAGGCTCAGGCGCACGAATCGCGAAGGGTTTGTACCGCGCTCAAAGCGTTCGATCGATCGCACGTCGCGATCGATCCCGGCGAGGAACGGGGTGAGCGCGCGAACGCTCAATGTGCGTCGGCGTAATAGTCTCGCGCGTTTTCAACACGTACCGTGTACGTCGACGACGTCGGCGTGCTCGTTAAAGGCGGATCCAAAGTCGGGCGCGTCGAAGTCTTGGTATCGTCTCGAATATTCTCGCGCGGACCTTTTCTGGCGCATCCGGGTGAAGTATTGAGCTCCCATAAGGCGCGAGTTATCCCCGCGTCATTCTACGATGCTACTCTATATCGCAAATCTAATCACTACCGGTACGTTTATCCGTGCATTATGATACTATCAGCACGGTTTCGGCGTGGAGACGCGGGCGAGGGAGACTCGCGAGACGCCTCGTGAGACATCGCGTGCAGCCGCGCACTCCGTCACACGCGCGTCCGCCCACTTGTACGCGCGCTGGAGTATTCTTTTCGCGCACAGGCGCCACGTGATGGCTAATTTGACGTTTTCACTCAACACGCTCATCTTCTCGACATCCTCGAGCGCCTCCGTATCCGTCTTCGCCGTGGTAGGGAAGTGCAGGAGTGCCGCGGCCGCGGCTTCTCGAATAGCCTCGAACGCGTCCGCCTCTTCGTCAAGTCCGAGCGCACCGCCTCTTCGCGCGACGTCTCTTAGATGCTTCTCATTCTTCCTCGGTCCGCGGCGCGTCGCGAACGCAATGCGCACGTCCGCGAGATCATTCCAAGAGAACCCACCGACATAAACTTTGAGCGGGGCGACTCTCTCGGCGTCGACGCGCACATCAAGGACGTAACCGTCTTGAGGGTTCTCATCCGGCGCGAGACAAAACCCGTAGTAGTCCAGGAGCTCGATATTAGAGTATTCCCCGTAGCAAACGTATATCTCCATCCCCGTACCGACGCCGCCACGTCCACGCGGTTGCAGAGCCGTTCTAAATGCAAACGTCTCCGACTCAACGTCGTACGCGCCGTCACCCGGAATCGGCGCCGTCTTCGCGCCGGCATCGCCTTCGCTCGTTGTTTCTTCTCTCATCCCGAACGTTGGGGCTCCGATGACATCGATAAGAATGGGTGGATCGTGCGGCGCGTAGTTGAACATGTCTCCCATTGGACAGAGCGCTCCCGCGGCGTGAAACGGGACCGACACCGCTCTCGAGCTCACCGTCGCGCGCGCCCACTCGTACGCATCGAAGGTTTCATCATCATTGACCACATTGTCGTCGTCTCTACCAGAGCGAATGATGTCTCTGACTTGGTCTTTCACGCGCTCAAACGCTCGGCGTGTCTCAGCCTTTCGCCGAAACGCCAACGCCTTCGCGCGCGCGTCCTGCAACTCCTCGATCTCGTCCTCGGACCACGACTGTAAGAGATTATACTTTTTCGGCATCGATTCCACGTATGGTGCGAACGCATCTCTCGCTCCGGCGCTTCGATGGCGAAGGAGTTTCAACGCGAGCTCGTCCCGAGCCTCCGCCTCGTCGGCGCGACGCTCCTCGCCGTCTCCAGCGACGTCCAAGCCGTCGCAGGCGATCATGGCCGAGCGCGGGATCACTATGAGATCTTTTTGTACGTCCCCATCGATCGCCCGCGTCGCGAACACCCCTCGGTGCGTCGCGTGGTTGCTCAAACGAATCGGCTTCACCTCGACCTCGTTGGCGCTCCAACGAACACCGCGCTCGAGCGACCAGCGAGCGAGACGATCGAGCGACGCGGCGAGGGCGTCCGCGGGTGGAGGCAACGCGTCGTCGTCGACGACGACGTCATCGGGCGCGGCCGTCGACGGCATCGTCGACGCCGTTGTGACCGGTCCACCGCGACGCGGACGAGCGCGCGAGCGACATTGTGAAAGCTCAAACGCGTCGATATTACGAGTCGAATGATATTACCAATCATTTCATGATTTAACGCGCGCGCCGCGAGCTCAATTTAAACCTTTAGGAGCACCTTTAGGAGCGCCATGCGGATGAACAGACCGTTTTGCGCCTGTCGGAAGTACCCCGCTCGAGGGTCGGCGTCGCAGTCCACGGTGATTTCGTCGACGCGAGGCAGCGGGTGCATGACAACGGATGTCTTCGGCAGGGCGTCCATGATGGACTTGTCCACTATGTACTTTCCACTCGCCTTGGCGTAATCGTCGAGATTGGCGAAGCGCTCCTTCTGGATTCGCGTTTGATACAGGACGTCCACGTCCGCCGCGACTTGCGCCAAATCGCTCGCCTCCTCCCACTCGCAACCCTTGTCCGTGAGGAACTGCTTGATGTCATCCTTCATCTTCACAACCTCCGGGGCGACAAAGTAAAACTTGACGTTATTGAATTGCGTCAACGCGGTGGCGAGCGAGCGAACCGTTCGCCCGTTGGCCAGGTCGCCGACGAGGGCGATTTTGAAGTCGTCGAGTCTACCGATTTCTCTGCGAATTGTGTACACGTCGAGCAACGCTTGCGTGGGGTGCTGTCCCGGACCGTCCCCAGCGTTAATCAGTGGTTTGTTGATCGCATCCGCCGCTCGTCGCGCCGACCCGTGGTTGAAGTGCCTCAGGACGACGAGGTCGCAGTATCCCTCAACCGTGCGCATGGTGTCCTCGAGCGTCTCGCCCTTGGCCGCGCTCGAGTACTCTCCCGCGGATTCCGTGCTCACGATCCCTCCACCGAGTCGCCCCATCGCCGCCTCAAAAGACAGTCTCGTCCGCGTCGACGGTTCGTAGAACAGTGTGCTCATGAGATACCCCTGAAGCATCACCGACTCGGGGCTTCCCGGCTTTACTCGTTCCATCGCATCCGCGACGTCGAACAACTCCTCCATCATCGCTCGATCGAACTGTTCCGCCTCGACGCAGCACGTGAGCTCGGAGAGCCCACTGGTGTACGTCGTCGCCGTCGTCGACGCGTCCCTCGCGTGGAGGCGAAGGCGACGGACGCGACGACGCAATCCATTCGCCGTCGCGCGTCCAACGGTTCGCCGCGCGTTTTGAACCACACCCATCTCCCGCGGCGCGTCGCGCGACGCCGACGCGCGAGACGACGCCACCGCGCGCGGTGCGGCGACGAACGCGCGGCTCATCGGCACCGCCACCGGGACGCGCGACGCGCTCCGACGTCGACGACGACGACGACGCCCGAGCCCGAGACGAGACCGTGACCAAACAGATCGAGACCTAAACCCTAGATTCGAGACCCGCTCGGTCGGGGCCACGTGCGTCGGCGCGCGAAAATCACCGGTGGATTTTAAAAAACCACCGGTGGATTTTAAAAAACCACCGGTCGATCGAGACCGCCCCGAGGCGTCTCCGTGTCTCCGCGCATCCATCGCGTTGGCCGTCGTCGCGTCGCACGGCGTCGTCGTCGCGTCGTCGTCGTCAGTGCGCGGTGACGTCGCGTCGAACGCGGCGCGCGACGGCGCGCGCGCCAGAGAGACGGGCGCGCGCCAGAGAGACGGGCGCGGGGACGACGGGGGGACGGCACGCGCGGGTGATTGTCGGGCGCGCGGTGGATTTTGGATTGCCATCGCGCGGCGCGTTGCCATCGCGCGGTCGCGTGCGCGCGATGCGAGCGATCGGGGAGACGTTAGATGATCCCGATGCGTCGACGTCGTCCGCGGTCGATGGGCTCGATCGCGACGTGCTCGAAAGGTTGGTCCCGACGCTGCTTCCGAGGCGGGCGAGGCGAGACGAGGCGGTCGAGGCGCCAGAGCGAGTGAAGAAACGAGCGATGCGAAAGATGAATCGGGCGAGCGCGAAGAAGAGGAAAAAGGTCAAGAAGGATAGAAATATGCGCGCCCGAGTGCTTACGGCGGCGTTCTCCAAGGATGAAGTGCCGAAGGAGAAGGAGAAGCGTCTTAAGAGCGAGACGGACAAGGAAAAGCGCATAGTAGATCCGTCGGACGACATGGAGGTGATTATTCACGGCTTGGAGACGTATAAAGCGTTCAAAACACACCACAAGAAGACATACGTTCAGGTGACGTGGAAAGGTAGAAGACAGACTCGTCGAAAGGTGAAGACTTTTCGAAGAGAAAACACCGACAATCCGCAGTGGGGGAGCGGCGAGAAATTCACATTTCCGAATTGCTCTCCTCACGGCAAATTTGTCATAAAGGTGAAAGAGGCTCGATCGCTCGGTATGAAAGTCGTGGTTGGGCGAGCAACTATTCCGAGCGTGGTGATACCGCGTGATGGAACCAAGGTGCGTTTGCGCATCGCGCTCCTCACAAGACGCAAGAAGGCAAAAGTCGAGTTGGTCGCGACGCTTGGTAAATCCAACCAAACAGAGCCCACCTTGGGGGACAACGGGCACTGGGGGAACGCGTGGACCAACGGTGGTAATGGTACGAATGAAGACGGTGACGGCACCGCACGCTCTGCGCGCGATGGTCTCGATGCCATCATAGTCAACGTCGTGAGCGCTCGAGACATTTTTGCCTCAGACGCCTCGGGTACGAGCGACGCGTACGTAAAATGTGGTTTCGATACAGCTCCGATCGAACGAAGGTACAAAACGCAAGTTGTGAAACGGACGAGGTATCCGATGTGGAACGATCGTTTCTTGATGCGTATCGAACCTGGCGGAGATGAACACGCGATTGTGTTCACCGTGTGGGACAAGGACGTGTTCTCGGGCGACGATTTCATCGGCGCAGCTGCGATACCTTTGGAAGTGATTCCGAGGAATGGCGATGTTTGCGATGTGGAATTACCGCTAAATCGCAAGGTTGACCCCAACGTCTCGGGCGAGTTTTGTTGGATGCATCCGAGAGCTACGTCTGATTGCGGCGTGATCCGAGTGCAGGCGCACGCCGTCGTCGGCGAAGAAGCGGCTAAGGTTCTCGAAGTGGTCAAGTTGGGCAAAATCGGACGGGCTGATGGCACGAAATTAGCACGAAGTGTTCACGTCGCGGTCGTTGCGGCGAGGCAGTTGTTTCACGTTGACGCGGGGGGAGGAACGTGTGACGCGTTCACGTACATTCGCATGGATAACGCACCGAAGAACGAGTTCTGTCGGACGGAAACCATTTTAAACACGCTTCATCCGGTTTGGAAGGAAGGCATCGGGCAAGTTTTCACACTAATCTCGCGACCAGGATGTTCTTCGATCATTTTTGATCTTTATGATCGAAACACATTCTCTTCAAAGGTTCTCATGGGAAGAGCGCAGGTGTCTCTCATCGATCTCCCGGCTGACGGCTCGTGGGCCACCATCACAACTCCACTCTACGGCATGGATGCGAATAGAAATACCCTGGTTGGTGGAGATGATAGTTCTTCGCCGTGGAATTCACCAGACAGAGTGAAGGGTGACTTGATAGTTCGTGTGAGTGCCACGCGAGCGCCGCACGAGAACATCTCTGAGCCCCCGATCATATCGGAGAACGACAGATACGTCAATCAACATGACACGACCAAATATCTGTACGTCCAAGCGCTCGAGTGCAAGAAGCTCCCGATACGACACCTCAAATTGAGCACGAACGCGCAGATTCGCATGGCGCTGAACACGCATAGGCAAATGATTTATGGGGAGGTTCAGCAAAACGTCACGTCAGACTTCGTTTTCGACACCCAGGTGAGCTGCATTCCGAAGACGTCTCTCAGTACGACACTCACGGTGCAAATGGTGGGTGAAATGAAACCCATCTATGGTTCCGCGACGTGCACTAAATTTACGAGGAAAACACTACATTGGTTCGGATGGAGTCGCGGTCACGGTGGCGCTTCTGAACAATACGTGGCGATCGACGACGACGAGTCAGGCGACGAGGGAGACGCTGCGGAGTTCGAGGATGGCGATCACAAGTTTAGCAGTGGCAATGCAATCGGCTACGCACAAATTTCCGTGAAAGATCTGAAACCAGGGGACATCGTCAAGCATAAATTGAAGTTGTGTCCGCTTGTGAAGACAAAGTCTTGGTTACGAGCGCTCGAGGACGATTTGGGAGAGATCGAGGTCCTCGTCGGATGCGGATACGCGAAAGATGCGCCGAAAGATTTACGAAAAGTCGATCACGTCGCGCGGCGAGCGATTGGGAAGTTCTCTATGAATATCGTTTCGGTCGTCGGTGATAAGACGCCATATCAACGAGTCGCTCCCCTCATCGACAATGTGCTCGGCTCGGTTCACCCGAGCTCGAATGAAATGTTCGGCAAACACGTTTACGCGACGATCATGTGGGACGGACGCGAGGAACACATCAAATCTTCTCAGGAGCGTTTCAACTTTGCCGTTACCGAGATCGCGGGCGATATTCGAGTGCTGATCAGATGTCCCGATAAACTCTCAATGTCGGATCAGATACTCGGCGTCGTGTCGATCCCGGTTACCGAGATCGTCGCGAGTAAGGAGAAATTCATCGATGCTTGGTTCAACATAACCCCGCCAAATTCGATGTACTTGACCGCGGAAGACATGGCGGATGCTTCGCGTCAAGTTTGCGTTTATCCACGTTCAACGAAACGACCTACAGATTGGCAAGGCTACGTACGCCTCAAAATTTCGTTTGAACCGAGTACGAGCAACTCGGAGTGGCAATGGTATTTGCAGCAGGCGCCGTTGATGGGTAGAACGCCGCACATCCCTGATACAATAGATGGCGTCCTTCAAAGCTTACAACGAGTCGTTGAGTCGATTTTGATGCCGTTCAAGACCATAACCAGGGCGGCCATCTTCATGAGCGTATGCCCTAAGGAAAGCAGAACGCCGAAAATGCTTTGGATCACGTATCACACGGTGTGCTGCGTGGCGTTCGAGGGCGAGATCTTGAGTACTTTCATGCTTCTTTGGATAATTCCGGGCTTAATGTTCTGCGGGTACTGCTCGCGCTTTGTCGTCGATGATCTCGAAAGGATTGCGTCGCCGTTCGAGAGCAAATTAGACGACGCGGAGGAAATTCGGCGCCAAGTGCATGATATGGCCAAGAAGAGGAACAGGAAAATGCGTAAATTTCGGGATGAAATTCTCGAGCGGATAAAACTCGAAAAGTTACAAAACAAGGGGCGCGCAGTGAGAATTACTCGCGAGGTCGTTGACATGGGTGTCCAGCGACGTCGAGCCAAGCGGGCTCGTATGGGCGTTGATGATGAACTTCCGACGATAACTTCGATGTTTATGCCGCAGCATTTCATCAATCATATCGTCGCCGTGCTCACGTCGGCAAATCCGGCGGAGATCGTGCTCAGACTGATTCAAAAGATAGTTTGGAACCTGCTCAAAGTTTTAAAAAGTGCGGGCTCCACGATCGTTCGAATCGATCAAGTCATCTCTTCTGGTGGGCCCAAGCTAATGCCGGGTGTATGCACACTCGTCGGCGCGAACTTGGAAACTACGGCGGATAATCTCGATCGTCCAATACGTTTGCTGACGTACGACGATCCGAAGCTTACAAAGTACTTCTCGCTCCTTCTCGTCGCGTTCACATTCGCTATGTGCTGCGTGCTTTTGGCGTTGAAGAAGTGCATACGGTTTATTGACAGTTACTCAGTTCTGCGCCTGTGGCACGCTCTTTGGCTTGTAGGAGTTGCCCCCGTCTTACCATTTTCTTCTGGTCCTTTGCTTCGAGCGAGCACGTACGTGGAGTACGTGATCCAACTCATTGTTGGTTTATACGTTCCCGTGCAGCCGCTTTCGTTGCAGACGATCGCCGCCGTGAGGGACTCTCTCGAGAACGAGCTGAAAGACGACTACAAACGTTTGCGCGAGTTAGTGCAGCGGCAGATGAATATTGAAATCGAACGTCGCACGAAACTCAGCAATAAGAAAACGGATGACCTGCAGAAACGTTTCAGCAATAACTCCAGAATCAATCCGCTTGGATGGTTGGCATACGCGCACAGTCGAGCTCCCACATCTCTGACGAGGACGCACGCGCACCGCACGCGCGCGTTCATGGTTCCGGGAGACCAAAATCCGCCCAATGTGAGCGTGTTCCGCAAGGACGTTGACGTCGGTCGGGCAACGCTTCACTTGTTCAGTGAACTCATCATGTTCGCCATTGACGTACCGATTCGTGCCATGAGCGTGCCGTACCGGGTGGCGAGCATAGCGAGCGCGGCAAGTCTGAACGTTTACGACGGCTGGGTTCGATTCACGGCGTTCAATTGGGTGCGGAGCAAGGAACGCAAGCGCGACGTGGGCGTGGGAAAGCGAGAGCTCCTTCCGTTTGGCTCGCGCAAAGTTTCCGTACAGCCGACGGCGCGCGCGACGTCGGGCGTCGTCGACGTCGTCGACGACGACATCGGCGAGCGTAGCGTTCGCGCGTAACAACAATCATAATTTGTACAATACAATACGGCACACCGCAACACGACCCTCAAAGCTCGCTCTCCAGGCGACCCCGAAGACTCGGAAGTCACTGCACCGAGTGATTCCAGTCGTACGCGTCGTCCACCACCGGAAAAGGCTCCTCCCAGTTCCGAACCTTTGGTTTCATCACGTTCCTGCGGCGACGACCGCGATCGCGCAAACCCGCAATCTGGGCATCGATCTGCTCACGCATCTCCTCCGTTCCGACCGCGCTCTCGACGTCGCCGTCGTTCGCGTCGCCGTCCGCCGCCGAGCCCGCGCGCGCCTCTCGAGCCTCTCGAGCCCGTCGCACCCGTCGTCGTCGTCCGAGTTCGAGCTCTCTCATTTTCGTCAACTGTGTCTTCCATTTCATTCTCCACGCCTCCGTCTTGACGTCCTTTAAATCTCCCGTCGTCGCTCTCGTCAGCGCCTCGTACGCCGTCTTGGCTCTGATGAAAATCTCCAAAGATTCCGCCTGCGCCTCTTCCCCTCTCACGACGTCCGGGTGATGCATCTTCGCCAGTCTCTTGTACGCCCGCTTCACCGCCTCCCTGGACGCGCCCTCGGCCACCCCCAGGGCTTCCCACGGATCGCTCGAGACCTCGTCCGCGCGCGCGCGCGCGTCCGTCCCGCGCGCGCGTCCACCGCCGCGCGGATGCGAGCACGGATGCGCACGTCGACACCTCGCGCGCGACCGTCCGCGCGACGACGACGACGACGCGACCGCGCGCGTCGTCCGCGATGGCATCGTCATCGTCGTCGTCGTCGTCGTCGTCGTCGGTGGCGTGAAAACCACGCGGGGCGTCGCGTGGTGACGCCATGTCTCGATGGGCGTCAATGCGCGTCGCGCTCGAACGCATCCTTCGACCGCGTTCGACGCCGCGCGCATCGACGCGACGGCGGCCGAGCTCGGGTCGATCGCGCCGCGCGCGTGCGAGCGCGATGGAGGCGCGACGAACGTCGAGCGATGATGGTCGCGCGAGTGCGGGTGACGATGATGATTTCGTCGAGACGTTTCGATCGAATCGCGCGTTGATCTCGTGCGCGTTCGCTCGGGAACACGCCGATGGACTCACGTTCGTCGACGCGTCGTGGCACATGCCGGACGCGAAGAGAAGCGGACGAGGGGAGTACATGAAGAGCAGATTGCGCCCGGAGACGCGGTTCTTGGACGTGGACGCGGTGAGCGATCGAGACGCGCGCGCGCCGCATCAGTTACCGGCACCGGAGGCGTTCGAGGCCGCGATGGAGGCGCTACGATTGAAAAGAAGCGACAATATCGTGGTGTACGACCGAAACGGTATGTTCAGCGCGGCTCGGGCGTGGTGGATGTTTCGCGCGCACGGGTGGGACAACGTGCGCGTGCTCGACGGCGGCGCCCCGGCGTGGCGAGCCGCGGGGTACGACGAGGACGAGAGCGCGAAGGGAGAGGAAGAAATTCTCGCGCACATCGATGCGTGCGCGGCGGCCATGCGCACGCGGCGCGAAAACGAGGGTGAGGCGAAGAGCACAGATTTCAAGGGAACGCGCGAGGAACTGGTGAAGACCAAAGCGGACGTGCTCAAGAATCTCGACGACCGATCGTTCCAGGTTGTCGACGCGCGCGGCGCGGCTCGATTTCGCGGTGAGACGAAGGAACCGCGCGAAGGAGTGCGTTCAGGTCACATTCCTGGAAGCAGAAATGTCTTCTTCGGCGAATTACTCGACGACGAGAAGAAGTTTAAATCCATCGACGAAATGCGGCGCACGTTTGAGGCAAGCGGGCTCGATCTCAGCGCTGGGGCTAGACCCATCGTCGCGTCTTGCGGAACTGGCGTCACGGCGTGTATCGTTGCGCTCGGTTTGCACCGATGTGGGGTGGAGAACGTCGCCGTGTATGATGGTTCGTGGACGGAATACGGGATCGATCCAGAATGCCCGCTGGCGACGGGACATCCCGAGTAAACAATGAATTTCGAAATTTCGATGTAACAATGATGCGCTAATCGATTCGAGCGTTTTTAAGCGTTACAGTGTCGAGTCTTTATTCCGAACGGGGCGGCTTTTGCGTGTTTGACTCGCTCGGTTTCCAGTTCTTCTTGCGCGGCGCCATGTTCTTCGCGCTCGGTCTGAACGGGGTGTCTTTACCGCTGCTTCGAGCAGCTGGGTGAATGCAACCCACGGTGGTGTGGTCGACGTTCCCATCTCGATCGGTTGACACGGAGTTCGCGTACATGTCGTACCACGCGTGCTCCTGGCCGTGTTTCTTCGCTTCTTCGGGTCCAAATTCACATTCGTAGAGCGAACCAACTCTCTTCGGCTCTGGTTCGCGAAAGCCGCCGGCGTGCAAGGAATAGCCCGTCATCTCGTCGCGATGCCGTTTGTGTCGTTGAGTGCACGCAAAAAAGGGAAACATGATGTATTGCACATTTTAGGTATGAAGGATGAAGAGAGTGAAGGACATGAGAGCGACGAGAGTCGTGGAGACTCCCCTCGGGAACCCGCTCGTCGGGGGCGACATAGGTGGGGGCGGTATAGGCGGGGCGACGCAGGCGGGAACGACGCACACGTGCTGATTTGGGTGTTTTCGTACTCGGTGGTCACGGTGATGGTGTTGTCCAATAGATCGTTCGGATTCGACGAGAACCCGGTGCGCGAGTCCAACCCCCCAGGCGCGCCGCACGACGTCTTCTTCGTCGCTCCCGCGAGCCCTTGAGCGTCGTAACATGAGAACAGATCCATCTTGGGATAATACATGAAGAACATGAAACACATCTCTTGTTCAGTTCCCTCACCCATCTGCGTCGCTGTGGATCGTCCCCGGGTATCGTACGCGCACTCAAAAACCAAATCATCGCCCGGTTTGATGGTACGATTGAAACCGTTTATCCAGCGCATCGTTTGAAAATCGAAATCATAAAACGGCGTGCTCGTGATCGGGGGCAATTCCACACCATTCCTGATTTGGCGCGTGAAGCTAGCCCTACCGGCCGTGTGTTGATGCGGAAAGTACGCGAACATCGTCATGTCCTGCGATCCAAACATCTTCGTCGTGCACGCGCCGGGACAGTTTGCGACGTGATTATACAGTCCGTTGGCACCGATTGTTAAAGCGTTGTGCGCTGGAATACCTCCCAAGAAAATACCGACCTCTCCGACAGTCGGTGCAGTGCTTTGCGTGAATAAACGAAATCCAGAGTCATCCGTTTGAGTGCTCGACGTTCCGGCGTTCCAGTGTCGCTCTATCATGACGTATCGAATGTCACCCGGGGCGGAACCTCCGATTTTCCTCGCGGTTCCGTCCGGGAACACCACTCGCGTGCCACCGACGGCCCACGAGGCGACGACTTCCGCGCACCGTACATCCATGGAACCGCACTGCGTAACGTCGTTTGCCCCGATCGAGGAATTGCCGGTTGACGCACCGCCGTTGACGGAGTAGCCGTGATCCTTCATCGATTGTACGTTCACATTCGAATCACTGGTGAATGGATCATTGGCGGTAGTGCCATCGGTGCAGAAGTACATCTGTGCGTGATGCAAGTGCGTCGGATTGGAATTGATAATGTCCCAACCGACGACGTATCGAACCGCCGTCCCCAAATCGTGCTTTGTGCACGCGTAGAAGGTCGCCCCGGCTTGCATGTTCGTCGCGATTTTCGGTTTGACGTCGACGTACGAGGTGACATCTACCGTATTCACGGTTGGCGAGTCCACGATGTGCGTGAACAAAGCGCCGCGATTGCTCGACGAGTGTTGCGCGAAAGTCGCCGAACTGCCCCACGCGTACTGCAAATAAATACCCTCCTTGGCGTGAATCGACACGTCTTGACGTCCGGAGAGCCAGTTCGTCGGGTCTGCGATCGTTTGCGGCGTGTTATCGATCGTCGTCGCGAGCAACTTTCGCCTCCTCTTGGAGATTGGCGTCGTCCCGTCCAGACCGCTCACCCTGCACGATACGAGCGGTCGGGAAAACTGAAACTCCAGGCTCGACGACGTCTTGTACGCCTTGATCGGCGTGATGGTAAACGCATCGTCGTCCAAGGGCATTTCATACGGTTTCTTGTGATTGTACATGTCCCGAAACGTCGCCATCGCCGATCCGGGCGTGACGACGACAAAGTCGCCGCCGAACATCCCCGGGTTGTCGTTGAACCCGAGTCCCGTCCACACCACCCCGTTCGCGTTCTTCACCGCGAACGTCACCAACCCTTGTTCACCGTTCGCCTCGTCCGATCTCGCGTTCACGACGTACTTGATCGAAATTCCGCTCGGTAAACCTGAGACGTCGGTGTACCCGGTCAAGCCTTCGTAAAAGCTCGCCGAGGCGTACGCCAGGTCTCGTCCTTGCGCCTGCACCGTCGACGCACGGAGCGCGCCGACGACGACGAGCGCCAGCATCGAACGCGTCGGCATCGCGCGCCGTCGTTCGATCATCGTCCGCGCGCGCGCACCGCGTTGACCGAGACGGTTTCAATGCGAACGGTGACGTGGACAGTTGCGAAAAGTTCCCGTCGTCTCGTTCGCCGTCGTCTCGTTCGTTCGCGGTCGTCGACGCCGAGGACGCGCGGAGGAACGCGCGGTCGATCGTTCGAGTCCTCGTCCGCGCGCGTCGACGGAGCTGGTCGATCGGTCGACCTCGAAGTGAGGGGTCGAATGCGGACGCAGCCGGCGACCTCTCGGGACGGCGCGGAGAGACGCGTACGTGTTGATCGTGTCGTATTAATCACCAGTTGGCAGCCTTCACGGCGAGCATTTGGTTTCTCAGAGCGTCGCGGAGGTGTTCGTCGGGGACGTGCACGTCGGGGTCGTCCAGAGGATCGTGGTGGAGATCGCTCGGATCCGCCGCGTACCGCGGCTCGGCGGAGACGTCGTGGAGAGACGCCAGGTACGGATGCGCCAGGGCTTCGTCGACGCTGATTCGACGATGCGGGTTGAAGACCAATATACGCTCGAGGAGATCGACGGCCAAGACGTTGGCGCGCGGATAGAGCGACGCGAAGTCGATCTTTGGCTTGCGCGGGAGAGCGCCGATGTACTTGCGCGCGTACGACGAAGAGATGAATTCGAGATCCGCCTCTTCAGGAGAACCCAAGGTTTCGATGATGAGGTGCATCTGATGGATGAAATCCTTCCCCGGGAACAAAGGTTTTCGAGCGATGATCTCGGCCAAGATGCATCCGACGGACCACATATCGATCGACGCCGCGTACTCCTCAGAGTTGAGCAACAGCTCCGGGGCGCGGTACCATCGCGTGACGACGTACGAAGTCATCATGTGTCCCTCCTCGACCATGCTTCGCGCGAGACCGAAGTCGCATATGCACAGATCACAGTTCGCGTTGAGCAAGATATTACTCGGCTTCAGATCGCGATGGAGCACGTTTGCGCTGTGCACGTACTTGAGCCCTCGCAAGATTTGGTACATAAAGTACTGACAGTGCTCGTCCAGGAGCGTTTGATCGCTCCGTATGATTTGGTGCAGATCGGTGTCCATGAGCTCGTACACGAGGTAGACATCGCTCACGCGACCGATCTCGTTCGTCGGCATCATCACGTCCACGAGTTTGATCACGTTCTCGTGTCGAAGTCGACGCAGGAGATGCACCTCTCGAAGCGCCCGTCTCGCCTCGACGGGCGAATCAAAGCAATTCGTCAGCTTCTTCACCGCCACCCGGCGAGACGTCCCGACGCGCCCGCGAGCCATCGGCGCGCCGTCGATCGCCGAGCACACCACCCCGTACGCCCCGCGTCCGATGATCTTCAGCGGGTTGTACCTCTCGTCGACGTCGAACGCGTGTCGTCCGACCCACGTCGTGCGCGCGCCGCGGGTGTATTTATCTGTCGTTTCGTCTTCCATACAGTTTGCCCACACGGAGTCTCGGTCACCGCCACCGACCCGCGCGTCTCGACCGCCCGCGCCCGCGCGCGCGCGTTCGCCCGCGTCGTCGCGCGCGAACCACCCCGCGGCGATCCCTCGATCGCTCCGCACGTGCGCCATCGCGCCGTCGCCGCCGTCGCCGTCCCGGTCGTCGCGTCGTCGCTCCCGCGCGCGATCGTCTCCGACGCCCATTGGATCTCTCCCTCGACGTCGTTCGCGCCCGTCGTCGTCGCGCTGTCGTCGCATCCCGCGTCGTCGGTCGTCCTCGACGCGAGCGATCGTGTTCGTGATCCCCCGCTCTCGGCGTCGGCGCACACGAGCGACGGGCGCGGGGCGGGACCACCGCGCGGCGGGCGGTGACCGCGACGCGCGGC